ATTGCTGCAAGTAAAAATCCTTTGCTATAAAGCTGGGTTATATTTCTCCGAAACTATATACATATAAAAATTTATGTAGTGGTAATGAAGGTATGTTTCTAGCCACTTAAAGATAACAATCATATGTTTTTGAAACCAACTCAAAAGGCACAAAATTACATAAATTATTTGAGCAATAAGTATTAATATTTCGTAAGAGAGAGAAAAAAAAAGGGCAAAATAAATAAAAAAAGAATTAACCACTCACTCACAAAAGGCCTTCCTCTGACTCCAATATGCATCAACATTATCATTAATGATGCAACAAAATCACAAGATTATGTACAAATGTAACACAAAATATTTTGATTTTGTGGCTAGTGAAACTCAAGAAGAATTTATCAGTGCAATGATAGATTGTATAATCAATGTACAAATATTTGGGAAGGAAAATTCAAGATCACATTACCAAAAAATCTGACTGTTTATTTTGTTTATTTTGTGAGGGTGGTCTGTACCTTCTATCACATTGCTTTTAAGAATAAATAAATAAATGAATAAATAAATTAAAATTAAAAAATTAAACAACCCTCTCCTAAATGTATAATCTGTAGGAGTTATCTGAAATTTCTTTTACTATGGCACATTTCAAGTATTTCTACCACTAAGAATGCATCTCTGCTAATACACAGATATAATTTTCTAACAAAATATTTATTGAATTTTGAAGCCGCTGTGTACTCAACAACTATCAACATGTCATACACACAGAGAGAGCAAAATGCCATCTTTGTATGCATTAGTAACCAGCTGTCCACAGCTTGTTTTCACCACATCATCAACCTATGCTTCAAATGTCTATGAATTTCATATATAACACACACAACTCCTTTACTCCAAAAACTGTTCAACTGAGATATCCTGCCCTCATAGTGGTATGTAATAACTGACAAAAAAGTAAGTTCCAGAAAATAATTTTTATGTTTTCTAACCCAATGCCCCTGGTCTGGCTTAAATGCCAAAAGGCCTAAACACTGGGGCAACTCAAGTAAGCACTGCAGTGTGCCAAGTAAGGGTGAAAAGTGCAGCTTTTATGCCATTCATGCACCAAGAAAGTTCTGGTTTGTAGCTCTGCAACAGACATATAAGAAATAAGGAGACTTACTGCTATTTTGAGCCTAAAATCCTGCTTAAAGCCTCAAGCCACCACAGTGCAAAGTCTGCATAACAGAAGGGTTACAAACTGTGAATGGACTGATAAAATGGCAGCATGATATGTGCTTCCCTGGCAACATGGCCATTCTTGGCATGGCATAACAAGCTATGGGTTAAGGTAAAATATTCATGAATTACTACTATAAAATACAACCCTGAAATCCCTCCAGCTAATGCTGTAAGTCATATGTGCCCTAGATAACTGAAAATATGATGCTATCATCAGGTTTAAACTTCCTACATTTGTAGAGGTTCTACTTTATATGAGAAGCTCACTAGAGCAGAAGCCTCACAGCTGGTATGAGTGGTGTGCCTCCACAGTGCAGCTATGTATGTGTCAACCTCTTGTTATAACAAGGCAGAATCCTGGAGCTTAACCTCCTCCCTACCAACATCACACACACACACAGACACTCAGGCTCTCTCTCACACACACAGACACACACACCCACACTCACACAAACACACTCTCACTCACTCACTCTCTCTTCCAGTACAAATTTGCTAACCTGAGCCGAGAAAAAATAATGAACTGCTGCAAATCAACTACTAGTCTAATTACAACCATACTTCTTCCCATCTGTTCTCTGTGGTTAGCATTTCAGAGCATACTGTCGTGGTCTCCCACTGTCCTACAGACTCCCCTTTATGGACCAAGAAGTTTGTGTCATGCCTAATATAGCTAGGTCAAAAACTCTTCCATGCTGATACAGCCCTCTCTGAGCCAGTTAGTTATGATGAGCTTCCTCTTTTGTTAGCAAGTCCCATCTACTCCTGACTATTGCATATCATGTATTCCACAACAGCTGATTTTTGCCCTAACCTCTTAAACAATGTTTCCTGAATAATTCAACCAACAGTCACATTCAACAATAGAATATGATTATAGCATGTTTACAGAATATCTTAAATGTACCTCTTAACCCATTCCCCATGGGTCTCATGTACAAGTGTCATAACATACTGCTTGGTCTGTGGGGTACAGCTGTATGCGTGGTAACGCACCAGAGCACGTGGAGTGGGAAGTTCTACTACATGTACAGGATTCCTGCGCCTAGTGTCTAGGCGTTACCAGAAATCACCAGAGTTTATGATACTCAGAGATTTCTGAAACCCATCCACGTAGGGTTAACCAAAGCAATTTCGCTGATGTAAGTTATGATCACAAAAGTGTTTTATCACTACCAAAACTCTAATGAGTGAACTCTCATATGTGGACATCATATTATGGATTACAATGTGGCTAGTTTCAAGTGCAAGGATAGTATTGTTCAGAAGACTTGTGAACAAAATGTAAAATATTATATACAGCATTTTACCTGTATATTTAATACCAATTGTTAAATAGTTTTGAATTTCATAAAAAAATACTTGTAACTATATCAATTATCATACTATCTTTAAAAGAAATCTAATTGAATTATGGTTTTGACCATGGGGTATCTACATATGGCTGTGGCATTAACACTGTCAACAAGATATTCAAATTAACTAAAACCTAACTTTGTCCTCACCTGCCCTACCTTGTTTATTACAAATATGTACAGACACAAACTTCTAATAAAAGCTGACAATTATTAACATGAGTGTTAATATGTATACTGTTCATCAAAAATATAATCTAAAGAGAGTATCTTCCAACAACTTATATAAAGGGATCGATTCCCCATCATGGCAGTAGCAGAAACTGGCCACCTAACCACATCATTTCATGGCCTAGAATACATGTTCCTCTACCAAAATGCTTTGGCTATTCAGCAAGATGAACTATCCATAATATAATAATAATATATGATCTGCTTAAGAGTTTGTTTACATAACACTGCTGTTATGTAAACAGCAGTCTGCAATTTTATTCAGTGAGATTTTTCCTTGTAGAAAGATCACCACACTATCAATTCCCTTCAATAAAGGACACTTGTGATTAGCTAACTCACCTAAAAAAATCAGAAGTGCAAGTATTTGTAATTGCAATGCATATGTAATTTTTCCCACAATTTTCGACAGTTAAAAAATATGACAAAAAGAATATATATATACACACACACATATCATAAAACTAAGTAAGCAAAATTATCAAATATTCATGACCCTACATTATTCTTTGATAAAATTTATATATATATATTTCCGAATTATAGTTCTTCAAGTACCACTACACGCTCTAGTGATGGTGCATTTTCATACGTCTTATTTTGACATTGTGAAAGGGTTCATGCAAACATTCTATAACATTAATGGTTCTATGTCAGTTTCTTGATCATGTAGATGAAAGACAACTCCTTTCTCTTAAACACTGCAAAATTAATTAATTTGAATAATCTGGATTCCTATTCCCAGTATTTCATCAATGTATTCACTATCACCATCACTATTATTGAAGACTTTATGTAAAACAAAAACAAATTACAGTTCCCTAGTACATTCACCTTTCCAAACATGCATATCAGAAACAAAAATTGATACACCATAACCACTACAGTTACTAAGGCATTGCTTGAGACATTACTGAAGTAAAGAGGAGGAAGTAACACTTCTGGCAAGATATACAGAGCAAAACATCAAAATACTATAAATGTGCATCACATATTGTATTAGATCTACACAACCATATGCAACTTACTATATAAACAATTTTAATAATGTAGGAAAGAGTAATTAATTCATTTACCTATTAATGTGGTGAAAAATATCTGGAGAAATAGCTTTGATGGGGAGGACAAATGTGTTTGTTTTCTTTCTTTCTCATCTTGTGTTCTAAAGATGCAGGATAACTTTGGAGATGTGGAAACCAGTTAAACACCTTACTACAAGATCATGCAAAGCAGGGCAAGACGTCATAACATCACTGACAAACTACATATTCTCCTACAAGGACAATCAAAGTGAGTTGAAAGGCAAAGAAAGGATGATTTGTTAAAGACAACTGGGACAACTTAAGGAGATAATACACACAAAGGAGTTGGAGTGGTGATGAAATACAGAAACACAGAGCAATAAAACCGTTTTAGGAATTTTATGTAGTATTGTGTTTTGTTTGAGATGACACACCCCTCCAACTCTGTATATATATTTTTGTACCCTAAAGACAAAAGACAAAATAAACCATCAAAAATGGCCTTATAACTGAAAGGTTGCTTAGTGTAGGTTAACTGAGAAAGGAGAAATAAGGTATCAAAAATGTATGTAAGTGGGATGGTAACTTAATTTGGTTCCAGAAGGTGTAAAAAAACAAAACAAAAACAAATAAGAGAGGACTTTGTTGGGTGTAATCAGAAAATATCTTGTGGTATAAATAATATTGCTACCAAATATACAAGCACAGGTGGCAGTAGTGAAGATAATGCTTACATGACCTCTAGTTTTATGGTATATATACGTGGTGTGAGAGGTAGGCAGCTTTCAGATAATGTGTAAGGAAGAGCAAAAAGATGTGAAAGGATGTTAGTATATGAAACAAAAAATATAAAAACAAAAAGTAAAATGCAATTCCAATTTACTATTTTTCTTCATCAAGAGGATATGGAAAAAGCTAAAACAAAAGAAAGATGGTTGTATCACTGATGGCCACAAACAGTGATACCAAAACCAAATAAATACAACCAAAACACTATAAAAATGGACAAAGTATTGCTTTCTGTCAAAGGGCTGTGTAAGACTGCTGAAATGATAAAAAGAGAAAAGTGAAGTATTGGAGAAAATTAAGAGACATTTGTTTTTCTAAGTGTTTGATCTGAGTGCCTTGCAGGTAAGGACCATTACTAATATACACAAAATGGATATCTAAGCAACAACTGAATGTATTA